GATTAAATAATGTAGGAGATTGAGAATCAAATAAATTATATATGGTCATAGCCTGAATTGCATTACATAATTCATGCACAGAGTCGTACATTATGTACCAACTGTCAACATGTGAAGTGTGTTTGAAAAAATAATAGAAGTGTGATTCTCAAACCACTTAAGGGCAAAGAGGAGGGAGACGCCCGTGGGGACGGTGCTGGTGTCATGGCCGGACACGCATGAATCATGTATATTGCAGCTTTTCTTTTCTTTTTTAATCTGGAGCACAATTTAGCTGTCAGAGGAAGTGTCGGGATGCCTTTAGGGTCTCAACTCCCAAAGGGTGATGAGAGATTAGAATGTCAAATGTCACCACGCACTTGAGAGATACCTTGTGAAACTACTGCACAGGAAACAGTGGAGGCTAGTTTAGGGTTTCTTTGATTTTCCAAGGTCTTGGCTTGAAGCTCTGCACGATGCTTTTAAGACAGAAGAAAAAATAATGGTCATGACTCATTTGGCTGTGATTGCTTTTATGTGTTGGCAACTAAGGGAAGAAAGCAGCAGCTCCGCATGAGAATGTAAGACTTTGACCGAATCACTGCAGCATCACCTGAGTCCATTTACTTCCAGGTTGGATGTTATGCAGCTCGCAACAACTTAGCGCTGTATTATTAATTATACTGTTCCCTTATTTCACCTTTTAGAAATTCACAGCTCACTGCATGCAGGGAGGCTAATAAGTGTTACTGTTCAGGAGAAAATTGACTTTCAACAGGGGCTGAGATGCAGCCGCAAAATGAGTCGACAAGCACACACTCAACTGATGAAGAACTCCTTAACTGCGTTTTTCTGTTTTGTTCAATATTCTCAAGTTGAGATTTGTCATGAAGAGCATGTCACCCATCTGTTTTGTTTTATGGTTGCTTGAATGCAATTTATTGGAAATTAAAAACAAAACAAAACGGAACACTGTGGAACAATTACATCCTTTTTATTAAAGCTGTGAGCCTGGATCATGTCAAGGCTGATTTCAAAACAGCTGCGAGGCAATGTTTCACAAAAGACACAGAGAACATTACAGAGCCTCGTGGCTTATTGCTTAACTTAGGACCACAAATGCTGCTGTGTTTTTTTAATTTGGGACTGTCTGTTATTTAAGTTACACTCACTATTTCTGGAGCAGTCATACACCAATACATGAAAAGTAATGTGCTGAAACAGTAAGGTGACGTCTTTAAATTGCAACAACCGTATCAAATAAGACAAAGAAAAGCAGCACTTCCCCACAAATGAGAACAAGGTCGTAGCCATGGAGTCAACATCAGGGGGGATCCAATCTGCTATTGGGTCTGCTATGGTGCAGTGGTTAACTTTGTCGCCTCACAGCAAAAGGGCTCCTGGTTTGAACACGGGGTGGGGGGCTCAAACTCAAGGTGAGGGAGCCCTTCTGTGCACTCCCCATGTCGGCATACGTTTTCTCTGGGTTCAAGACATGCAGGTTAACTGGTGACTCTAAATTGCCCGAGCGTGAATGGTTGTCTGTCTCTGTGTCAGCCCTGTGATAGCCTAGCAGCCTGTCCAGGGTGTACCCCGCCTCTCGCCCAATGTCAGCTGGGATAGGCTCCAGCCAAACCACGACGCCCAACAGGATAAGCGGTTGCGGAAAATGATGAATATCCAAGCAAGTGCAGCTATACGGTAAAATGGCAGTTTTTAAAACCAGGCCAACTAAGCAGGATTCGCCTAAAATCAATATATAGACTCACACAGATGTAATGCCTCTCAGACATCACTTATGACCCACTCTCAGTGTGTGGTGGTGTATTTATCTGCAGACACTCTGTCCTCTGCCTGTATTTTCTTCTTCATTTCTGTGCTGGAGATGTTTATGGGTGTGTGCTCCCACAGCACTCAGGTGAGATCAGGACTTAATAAAAAGGTAGTGACCAGGTGCCAGACTGTCAGCAGCAGACATCCAAGAGACACAGCGGCAACAACCCCGTAAATATAGCAAGGTGAAATGCCAAATGAGAGTGAGTCTGGGGTTGGCTTTTACTCTCACTTTCACTTTCAAGCAGTAACTGACAGTTTTTCATAGTATACGTTTATTTACGATTATGACTACATTTGCTGATGGTTACTTCGGACAGTGCTGCGTGGCTGCCTGTCATAGCATAGCAATTTTTAGTTTTTAATCAATACACTATATTGGGAATGGGGAACTGGAGGGGTCCCCCCAATGTGTATTATAATTCCTGCCTTGACTGACAATCTAGGAGCAGAGAATGTCATTTTTAATTGAGATATAAAAAAAATAGCCGCAGATTGATTTTCTGTCAACTAATCGATGAATTGTGTCAGCTATATATCCTCCCGAGACCCCAACTTTTGTTTGGTATGCATTTTTAATTTCTCCTAGCTATTTGGGATCAGTAGGACCTGATTAGAGTAAAAAACTAAACACTGTCAACAATAATTAAGTCCCAATCTCCTCAAACAAGTACTATCTAATTGACAGCGTCTTAGCTGTTTGTATCGCATATCAAACTATAAACATTATTAATCATGAATACACAAGTTTCAACCATAACGTGATCAGGTTTTGGACCTTGTCCACTTTTGTGTCAGGGTTGGCTGCAGACTGACTCGGCAGAGATGGCTGCCATCTTGTTTTTACATGGATTAGTGTATTGTGGTTTCTCTACCACTAGATGGCACAAAAAAAGGTCTAAGTTAAGTAGAATGAAGATTAAGGTCCAGGGAACCCAAAATGTGAGGTCCTCATATGAGGACACAGGGTCTCAGGAGGTTGACTTACGCCATTCCACTGGATGCGTGTCCGTTGCGGCGCTGGTTATCCGCTACGTGCTCCATTGTCCGTCAACACCCACTGGCTGCGTTTGCTCTGCGGAGTGGTGCAGCTCCGCTGGACAGTGGGAGTCACGAGGACCCACGAGATCTCGCAAATTCACGCATAATTGCGTGATATAACAAGATGTAGTTTCTATAAACAGAACCATAAAACCAGAGGAGTAGTAGGAAGACATCTCGGTGCACCTCCATGATTAACATCTCCTTGTCCATGGTGTCAACGGGGTGAAATGACATCTTAAAACCTCTGACCTGTTGACTTCAGGCCTGCCTCCGCCCATTATGACGTTTTCAAGGTGTAGTGCAGGGAAATATGATCCTTCATGAACACTGTGTATCTTATTTTGAAAATGAACCAGATGTTTTATTTTGTTTGTGTGCACGACTTCCTGCCCCGCACGATCTGCTCTGTGCTGAATTGCTGCGTTGTGCTCCAGCGTCCGGCAAAAATAGAAGTCCTGCGTATTTGTTGCGTAGAGCTGTGGAGTGTCGCAGCTGTGACGGAGCTGGTGGAAGCACACACATTGACAAGAATTGAAACGGATCGGCTCTGCTGCCGTTCCGGAGCGCAGACGCAACCAACACGCATCTCTGGTGGAATGTGGGGGTTAGACCTGTTGTCCTCATTCGCGGACACTTTTTTGCCATCTAGTGGTAGTAAGAGCACAATACACTTATCCATGTAAAAACAAGATGGCAGCCATCTCTGCCATGTCAGTCTGCAGCCGATCCCGACACAAAAGTGGACAAGGTCTAAAACCTGATCACAGTTTATGGTTGAAACTTGTTTTTTTTTTTTATGATTACTAATGTTTGTAGTTTGATACGGCAAAAAATTTGACCAATTTTAGCAACAGTAACAAGCTAAGACGCTGTTTATTAGGAAGTACTCGTTTGAAGACATAAGGACTATATTATCGACTCGTTTGAGGACATTGGGACTTTCTTATCATTGACTATGTTTAGTTTTTTATACTTTTCCGGTCCTGCTGATCCCAAATAGCTAGGAGAAAGTAAAAAAAAGGCATACCAAATAAAAGTTTGGGTCTCAGACGATTAAAACTAATTTGAGTTAAAGATAACTTTGTGTGGTTATTTGAATTATTTCTTATGTTTTACTGCTTTGGTGACACATCTTTTCACCCTCTGCACATAGGTTCCCTGAGTCTATTGTAGAGACATTTTTGGAGTCTGCATGATTGATCAAAGGGCCATTCTCTCACATCACCCGACAGACAGAGGCAGAAAACAATACTGAAAAGAATTCAGAAACTGCTGTTCAGGTTAATTGCACTTGATCAGTCAGAATACAGTCAGGTCTGGAGGATTGTCAACCACACTAATGTTTTGCAGTGTGCATGGAGGTAGTGCAGCCTGGAGGATCGTGTGAGGATGCCCACGAGGCTGTGGGGGCTTTGAAAAGGTAGGCATTTTGGAGAGGAAGCAGATGGCCCACATTAAAAGCAAAGGGCCCTTGTGACTGTCTTCAATGGCCCTGCAGAGAACTGGGTAATTAAATGAGAAATTTAATCAGATTCCTCAAATTAAATGTCCAGCTGGATAGTTCTGCAAGAACACCACTGACTACACATTTACCTAAGGGAGTGTCACCGGTGGATGCATAATTCTCCAATCAGCACACACTCATACACGATGATATTCCAGGTGATGATTACTGCTAAAGTATTCCATTCACAGTTCTGCCAGCAGGAGGCAAAGGGACATCACTGTGTGGCCACAGGAGGGTCGTTTTAATAATGGGGCCTGGGAGGAAGCAACAAAACAGTGAGATGACTGGATGGGGGTTGGAATCAGTGGATTCTCTTCTCTCTCTTTGAACAAGGCTTCAATTCCGTGTGTAGATCCTGCAAAACGGCCTTGACAGTTTTTCATCATGTTTGATGCAACATGTTTGATGCAACATTTAAAAGAGGCAGCACAATCCAGCGCGCGCGTGGACTTTGGTGACTTGACAATCTGACACGAGCCACTGATTTTTGGAGTCTTCTTTATCAGAGACACAAACCCAGACTCTGCTGGGTCCGTTCCGACTCATCTTGCATTCAGCAAATCCGGAGAGCCGCCTCCCCTCCCTCCGCTGCTCCCGCCCCGCGCTGGCTCCCTCTCACACGCAGCCTGTCCTGTAGGATGGGACCAGCAGCCAGATATCCATGCATGCCTGACCGCTAGTCCACTTCCTGGATGGAAGAATGGGACATTTCCAGCACCACTTTTCTTCGCATTGTGCATTGCCCTTCGTGACGCTGACGCCGCGGATAATCGCTTAATAATGCCCACGTGTAATCAATAATAATCGACCACTTTTTTTTTCACCCCTGTAGTTAAAGACAGCGATTGATCGCCGATTGACCCCTCCAGCACTACGGGAATGTCGCTATCTGGAAGCCCGCTACAGGCACGGTGGAGTCCAACACATTTCCAACTGTTTGTGCACAGCCGTAGTGTGCGTACCGTGTTATTCCTCGAAGCTAAAAACAGCCTGTGCTCGGACTGGAGGCGAATAAATTTGTCTTTTTGAGAAAAGACACAGTGACTCCGCAGCCCGAGCCGCTAACCGTTTTACTTTGATGCTCTGCCTTCGTGGCTGCTGTGCCAACTTCGTCTCAGCTTCGGTCGTGTGTGTGTGATTTTCCCTTTTTCTTCTTTTTCTTTTTATATATATATATAAAACAAGAGAAAAGACTGAGAAACTTTGTCACCCGTTGCCTTCTTGTTGCTCTCGATGAGCTGTCTAACATGCGGAGAATACGGGAACCGAGTTACTGGTGGATTTTATCCTTAATTTTTTTAACCTTGCCCAAACACAAAGACTGTCATCCTGGTAAGTACTCACAGCTCGGGTTAGCTTTCATTTACGTAGCATATAAGTACTGTTGTTGAATTTGTCTGTGTATAACGAAGGGTAAAAGCGACTTTTGCTTGTCGAGTACAGACATTTTTTCAGAGGCAATGTTCAGCCTGGGTTCCACTAACGGTTACTGGGCCGAGCCGAGTTTAAACGTCCAACGGTTAAACGTTAAACGCTTAGCCTCCATGTTATTGATTAGGCAGCTGGACTATGGCGCAAACTATCCCCTGCTGTTAACGTTAGGGCTAAACATTTATTCACTAGTCCCGCTAAACAACTCCTGTTTGACCCTGACGCTTTTACACGTTAGCTACAACACTGCTTGTTCATACAACATGGTGTCTCAAGACTTCATCAATCTCAGGAAATGTAGCTAATATAACATTCCTGTGAGCACTCAGTGTGATTTGTGAGTTACTTTATCTCCCGTGGAATTATTAGCTGTGTGTCTGCCTGTATCTGTCAGACACTGTAGTTTTGTTGTGGTGTTTATAAGGTGTCCCCAAGTTTTATTACAGGCTTGCTGTAGTTGTGGTCGTGGTTTATGTGGAGGTATAATCTGTGTGTCTGCCTGCTGTCATGTGCGTAGGTAGGGACGAGGATGAGGGCGATAGTTAGCGCTGTTGGCTCGTGGATGGATGTGGATGGATGTGTGTGTGTGTATGAGGGGCGATTAATGCCACGGGAGCACAAATGTAGTCCCTGAAATATCTAGAGTATGGGCTACCAGTTTGAGATGACTGGTGTTCATGGGTGAAGATTTCAGGGGGGACGAGGGGGACATGTCCCTCTCAGTATTTATGTGCAAAAGTGGAATGATTATGGCCAAAATGATTTTCACAATTATTTTGATCATTTCTGAGTTATTTATAAATGCAAGACATAACCCGTTACTCTTTTGAAAAACAATATTACTTTATGTATTACTTCCTACAAACAGTAATTCATTACACTAATAGTTACATCATAAACAACTCATTATATTGTAATAATGATAATACATTTTATTTATTTACAAAGTGTTACAAAGTGCTGTACAATAAAACTAAACACAATTAAAACACAAGAAAAATAAAACAAATAACATGTCATAAAATGTAATCTAGTAAAATATAAAATAAAGAAAATCAAGATAATAAAAGGTCATTAAAATCAGTAATATAGCAATAAAACAGACAGACACCTCAGATAAAGTCAAGATATGCTTTCCGATAGAAGTATGTTTTTAGTAGGGATGTTCCTGGCGACTAACTTCCCTGTCGGCCAAACGAAAATTTTAATTAAGACTAGTCGACTAGTTTAATAAAGGGAAAACGCTCACATAACAGTCAAAATTTCGTACAGTTTATTGTGAAGTATTAGAAACATTGTCCCAAAAAGTATTGTGTGCATTAAGAGCCCTTTGAAGTCTTGACTAGTTGCGGGCGGCTGCGTGACAGTGAAGTGGCCTTTTACGTGAATAAAACACAAGTTTGTTGAACCAACAAATATCTCTGGTGCCGACTAGCGAGGGGGCGGACGTTTAATCATTTAAACGTCTAATCGCGCGCATCCCTAGTTTGTAGGGGAGACTTTGACAAAGCCAGTGACTCAAACAGCCTTATATCCTCAGGCAGGTCATCCCAGAGCCTCGTGGCCCTGGTGGCAAAAGCTCTGTCCCCTTTGGTCTTCAATCTGGACTCTGGGACAAGCTGCCTGATTATCTTAAACTATGTAAAGGTTCATAAAGGACGAACAGGTCTGAAATGTAACCTGAAGGCCATGAAGAGCCTTAAACAAACAGGGAGCCATTGTAAGGAGGCTAAAACTGGTGTGATGCAGTCGTGCGTCTTGGTTTTGGTTAAAAGCCTTGCGGCTGAGTTCTGAACAATCTGAAGTCATTGCAAGGATTTTTAAATTGAGATATTACTTTTCTGTCACACCCCATAACATTTGTATTAGCATATCTCCCCAAAATTGAGATGTGTGCCTTTGTGTGAATGTCAGGGTAATCGCTGTTAAGTGAAGCTAATACTAGATAGTGTCTATATACCTGGGGGCTTTCTGTTGCCTGTGACTGGTATTTTCCCAAGGATCTGCCCGAAAGATGAAAAGTCACTCATGGAGCAATTACATCCACCACATATCCAGCCACAAGCATCATCACTTCTTTGTAGATGCAGCTGTCCATGATTAAAATCAAGTTTTGGTTGTTTAGCCAGTGCAGGGCTACAGCCGACCTCTGCGGCCGAGGAGGGTGCACCTTTGGTGGGGTATATTTCCTGGAGCTTCATGTTGTTGTGTTGTGGGTCGTAGTAGCTGAGGTGTTTCAGACTGGAGGTTTGGGAACGTGTGTTTTGCAGTGGAAAGAGTTTTAGTATGACTCCCTGCAGCAACATTGCTCTTGTCATCTTTCCTCCCAACAAAAGCAAAGTAATGGGAATATTTCCAACTAGCTTGCTGCTTTATGATGCGTGTGCACAACACAACGATTATGAAAATGAGTCTGCTGATGTGACTGTTGTATTTCAAGTCAGTAGTGATGTGATATCAAAAGTAATGTTGTAATGAGTTGTTCGGTTTTGGAGTAATTTTGATATTATAACTGAAATTTCATTAGTAATTAGTTACACTACTCGTTACTAGAAAAAGTAATATAATTACTGTAATGCGTGACTGCCCAGCACTGCCCAACAGCATGATTTTTATGTGATAAATTGTGCAGCCCTAATTCTGTTCCACTAGAGATTTAAGTATTAAAGAAGGCTGATGGATTAACAGGTGAAATATTATGCTGCATTGAAATGGAGCTCATGAGCTCGTTTTTGTGACACGATCATGTACACGAAGTTGTGAGCTGGCAGCTCTCAAAAAATTTCCACTTATGAGGTTTTGAATACTACAACAAGGTGGCATTCATATGGCCTTTCCTCGTGAACATGGTAAACACAGCCCCATTTGAACGCAGCATTAGTGCTGTGCAGCCAGAGCTCAACACTACTGGACAGTTTATCACAGCTATCAAAGTTTGTGACTCTTCCTACTAGAGAAGGTCAGATATTCCTCAGTGTTACTATTACCACTTGTGATGAGAGCAGTATGACAATACAGTATGTGACCGTGGTAATAACCTAGAATAGAGGTGAAATTTGAATCTGGTCACAGAATATGGTGCAACACAGGCCCGTTTTCCAGTTCGAATAATATTTACCTAAGAGCTGCTCTCTGTAGGTTTAGTGTATTACTTGATTTGGATTAAAATTAATGTAAGGCCCTTTGTTAGCCTCACACAGGTAACAAGTTGGGTCGAGGGTTGAGCACACACTGATGCACCTATGTTGCTTTTAAAGGGTAAAAACGTGACAACAAGCAGAATATGTATGTGGGAGCCTAAAGGAGGTCTGATGGCAACATAGGACAATGGCAAACAGACATCTTAAACTCAAAATAACGCATACTTAAGTTGATGTTTTTGTCTTTCCCCTCCTTGACTGAAAAAAACTCAACACAAGCAGGGTTTCCCACACATTCATTCATTTGTGGTGGGCTGCCACAATTAAAACATCTGTCTGGTTTTCTATTTTCGGAATTGGATTGTTCATTAGGAAAATATATATACCATTTGGTTATTATTTGCTCCTCAGATGGAGGGGCCAGCAGATGGAGCAGCAGTATGGCAGGCGCAGTGAAAGTAAAACTTAACCTTAAGTATGCTGGGTGTAAAGTTTTGCTTTCATTCACAAACAGCTGTTCCTGTCACCCATCAATCTAATCCGATCAGCTCTGATCAGCTCTGATCGGATTGACTGATCCACCCCGCGACTCAAAAAGAGTTCAGTCTGTGTTGCGTTCAATCACCCACAAAAATTAGAGTGGGCACACAGACAAATACAGTGCCACACAGGAAATGGCAGGCTGAATCCGAGTTGCTACGATTGCTGACTGAAGGTAGTGTGATGAGCGGGACATTTTACATTTAAAACATAAACTGTTATCGCTCTCTGGTAGACAAACTATTTATGTACACACAATTTAAAAAAAAAAATGTATGCACTGCAAATTCTCACTTGTTAGCCAACAACCACCCTTGAAATATGTCTGTATAGCTAATATCGGACTATAATAACTATCCAGTAGTTTATCACTCTGGCTCTATGCATTTGAAGAATCAGCTAAACAGTAATTGCATCTACTTTGTAAAATCAGTCATATGTTAAATTTCATTTTAAAATTTTAGCAGCTGAAGAGAGTCTTACTTAGTTTGCATGCCAATTATATTGGATGTTTTTATTTTGTGGCACCAGTCATCTTCCATAGCCGAGTCGCAATGATGTAACATAGGAGAATGGTTCCTCTCTGAGTCACCCCCCCCCCTTCTCCGTCCCAAAATCCCCCAGTTCCCTGCTTCCACGTCCTTAGTTTGCAGCTTTATTGACTAGTAGCCTTCCAGGCCCATAACACATCTGAGTTTTCTCATATGGCATGTCTCACCAGACCTCTGACACACAGCAAACAGGCAATACAGGCTGACGGGCAGACCGGCTCAGGAGGTGGTGGAGGATAAATCCAATTTAACTACTCGTACACTGTCACGTAACTGTATTCATCTACCGTCTAGGCTGGTGACCTAAATCTTTATAATATAAATTTAGAGTTTACATAGACGGTATTACCAAACCGGTGCTTAAGTTCACATGAAAATAAAAGATTTGAAAGGGAGGGGGATTATTTTCTGTCTTAAATTAGTGCATACCAGAATTAAAGGCATAGCTGTCGATGAAATTGCCCTAATTTACATGACATCTGAGAGAATTTTATCTCAAGTATTACATATAGAGGCGATAAACACTAATTTAAGATGATCAGCCTTGTTTTGAAAAGCAGTCTTACATGCCCTTTCTCACTTAAACAAACATCCCAGAGTGTTTTCCCCCCTTAAATGTCACTTTGTACAACAATGTGGAGACAAAAAATTATGTAAGAAGAGTATTCAG